CAAATGGAAATCTAATGTTAAGTTTTTCCATGTTTTGGATGCACATGTTTAATCATGAATCTCAAGGATAATCTTTCCAAATTTCAGTCGAAAGTTGATGAGGGGATTTTCTTGGGATATTATCAAAATTTTGTAGCATAGTGGGTGTTAAACAAGAGAACTTGGAAGCTAGAAGAAACTTTCAATCTCACATTTGGTGATCATTATGTCAAAAGAGTTGAACAACCATTCGTTCAAAAACCAATTATTACTAATCCAAATGTTGAATCTGCACAAGTGGATACTTTTGATATTGATCTTGATTTAATTCTTGGTATTCCTGATAAGGTAATAAATGCAGCGATTAATGTTGCTGATAATCAAATTCCTGAGGCATTGAAACACTCTGAGGGTTCGATTGTCACAAATGAAGAAAATGAAGCATGTTCTTCATCGCCTTCAAGAATAAATGTCGAAAGAGTACATGTTTCAATTGATGATCAAGTGGAGGGAGAGTACTTGATTTCTACATATCAAAATGAAAGACATGATTCATATGTAAAGGGGGGTCATATGACAACTCAAACTCATGTCGAGGGGGAGCGTATGCCTAATCTTGTTGATGTCGAGGGGGAGAATCACATATAAAATCTATTGGTCAGGGGGAGCCAAGTCGATAGAATCATGATAATGGTAATGATCAAAATAATGATTTTTCATGATGTAACTGATAATATCTCAATTATAGGAGAAGCTTCGGATGTTGAATATCTTTGAAGATACACCTTCAGAATTTGATCTTGCATATCCACCGATAGACAAATAGACAAGAAATCATCTGACATAATAGATTCTTAGTGATCCGAATTCTGGTGACTTGAATCGAGCCAAGATTCGAGCCAGAAATGAAGTGTTGAATGTTCATTAATTTTTTATGTTTAATGTTTTCATTTCGAAATTAGAACCAAAAATAGTAAAGATTGCATTAGAACATTCTGATTGGGTTGTTGTAATGAAATCTGAACTTGCTGAATTTGAACAAAACAAGGTTTGCAGGTTGGTTCTTAAACCTAAAGATGTTTCGTTAAATGGTCTAAAATGGATTTTTAAAAACAAAGCTGAAAAAGAAGGCAATATTATCTGAAACAAAGCTAGGCTAGTCGTAAAATGTTATTATGAACAAGAAGGTATTGATAATGAGGAAACCTTTTCCCCTGTTGCAAGACGCGAGGTGGTACAAATTTTTCTTGCTTATGCAACTCACAAGGATTTCGACGTCTATTAGATGGATGCCAAATACGCATTCTTCAATAGTGTTCTGGAAGAAATGGTATATGTCGAAAAACCACCATGTTTTGTTAACGATAAGTATCTTGATCACTGTTATATTTTACCTAAGGCAGTATATGGGTTGAAACAAGCACCTCGTGCCTGGTATGCAACGCCGCCAAATTTTTTGAAAATCACTAAATTTAAACAAGGATGAGTTGATACTACTTTATTTCGAAAGAAAGTAGGGGATAGTCCGATGCTCATTCAAATTTATGTTGATGAAATTATCTTTGGTTTGACTGATCCTTCATTATCTAGAGAATTTGAGAAATTAATCAAAAGTCAATTTGAAATGAGCATGATGCGTTAATTAATAACTTTTTGGGTTTGAATATTCATCAAACCAGGGAAGGAGTTTTTATCAGTCAAGAGAAATATACCCGAAACTTGATTGATAGGTTTGACATGATGAATAATTCGAAAGTCAAAGTACCGAAGGTTGTTGGCACACGCTTAAGTCCTTTGTTAAATAAGCCTGCTATCGCTCTCATGACGTATAGGAGCATGAATAGTTTTTTTTTTTTTTTTTTTTTTTTTTTTTTTTAAATTGAACTGTAAGTCGACCTGATATTATATTTGATGTATGTAATTGTGTGAGGTACCAATAGACTCCCAGAGAACCCCATCTTACTGTAGTAAAGAGTATCTTTCTATATCTTAAAGGTATAGTTTCGTTAGGATTATGGTATCCATCGAAGACATGATTTTTTATCCAAGCATTTTCAGATGTGGACCTGGGTGGATGTCAAATAGATCGAAAGAGCACAACAAGAGGGTGTCAATTGTTAGACGGAAAGCTTGTGAGCTGGCAATCGAAAAAGCAAACTTGTGTTTCGATTTTGACTGCTGAGGCAGAATATATCGCTGCTGTAGCATACACATCACAATTGATTTGGATTCAAAGACACTTGTGTGAGTATGCAATCAACATGAAGGAAATGCATTTGTAGTGAGATTCTCAAAGCGTAATTCACATTTTTCACAATCCAGTCCAACACTCGAAAACAAAACATTTTGCTCTTCGATATCATTTTATTAAAGACCGCATTGAAGATGGCAACATTGAAGTCCATTTTGTTAAAAGAACTTATCAACTTGCTGACATATTCACAAAACCTTTAGATGAAAAATCATTCTTATGGGTTTTGAATGGACTAGGAATGATGGACGCAAGCTCTGGTCCACAATCTTCTTCACTTTGATTTGAACCTATGCTTTATCTTACTTTCGATTGTTTTCATTACTTGCGATGAGTAAGTATAACATTCGTGTTTGTTAATTCACTTTTGACTGTTTGTGTTCTTTTTAGAGGTTATTGTTCATGTTAATCGTTTGACTGTCCTCACATTCGACTTCCTTCTGAATCGTTCAGTGTAGGATTCTAATTCATGTCTGATTAAAGACATCCGACGCACAAATTATTCTTGACAATTGTTAGATTATGAGTCTAAAGCATCTAGGTAACATTTTTAAGTTCATTTATTTTTGTTATTTTTGCTTGTTCAAAAATCAAGAATCCAAATTCTTTTTTCTTAGTTTTGCTTTTGCTTGTTCAAAAATCAAAAATCCAAAAAGATTTTCTTATTTTTTTTTTCATTTTTCAAAAATCAAAAATCCAAAAAGATTTTCTTAAATTTGTTCTTTCTTTGATAAATACAAAAGCACAAAAATATGTTGGTTGTAATCTCATTGTAACAACATGATGTTATTTCGCATGCCATATGAGAATATTCATCAAGGGAACAGGTACTATTCTAAACTATGTACTAGTTAAGTGTCCCTAGAAGCATGTTGTTCTCAAAGCCTCAAAGACTCTTTGTGTTCGAAGCCTTAATGAAACCTTTCTCACAAAATTTTATTCCCAATTAGGCTGTATTCACATTAATTGACGACCTACCTTACTCTTCTCCAAATGTGTCATGAGTTTTTTGTTTGGTCCATATTTTTAGCAAAGGTACAATGAGTTCTTTCACCAATATTTTTCACCAAAAATTTCTTTCATGATCACACACTATACAGCATATCCGCGATATCTCTGGTCGAAACCTAGCAGAATGTAGATATGTCACACATCTGTGTTTATGATCTTGAATCATTCTTCTATGATGATAGTGAAACCCAATAAAATTAAACATCAATGAATTGACGGTGAACAATTTTGTTCAAGATTTTCACTAAATGTTTGTTTCTTTGTATCACTTTGATATTCAAAATCTCATTTCCATTCATATTGCGTGATCTTGATAAAATGTTCTAATCCTAGGATGTTTTTGCCCAAAAAGATCTAGTTTTTCATTTTTTTTTTGGAATGAGGTTTCCGTTTGAATATCTTCTATGAACTTTTGTCACTTAAAATCATCACCAGCCGTACTTGTTCTTGACTACACTGGTCCTCCAAGTAATTTTGCCAAACTAAATCACACTTATGTTGAGTTATGATCTTGTGTAAAATTGAAGCCACCTTCAAAACCAAAAGAAAAAGAGGCCCTTCAATGCTCATCAATGAATTTTTAATTGTATTTCATGGGAAACCACACAAGCAATTCTTCATCTCTCTTGATGTCAAATGAAGAGATCTTTTCCCATTATCATTTTGCTTTCGTATCAAATGAAATTTGATATCACAAGATCCATATTTTCTTTTATTTGCTTTTATCTCATTCTTTGGCACACAAAAACACTGAAATCCTTGAGGCTTTGGGTCTTACCAACTCGAAAATTAGATTTCACAAAGTCTGGTAAATGATTTTACTTATCCTTCCCATATGTAAATGAGCCTTAACGCGAAGGATAGTTTTGATATTGGTATCGAAACATATGGCAGTTTTGATATGATTGATGGAAGCGAATGGTCATAATGAAGAGACGGTTTAGAATTTTTACAAGAATCAAGAGAACGTGATGATCATTTTTCCTACATGGCAATTTTTATGGTGCCGATTAAGTAACCAACAAAATACGTGGTATTTTCTTACTGGGTACGGATTCAAATTCATAGATACACGCAAGTTATAAAATGAAAATGATGATTTCCTTTAATATTTCTGCTCTTCGATTAAACCTCAAGAACCCTAACTATTCATCGATTCAAAGTTCTTCTAATTCTTTCAACTTATCTAAAATGGCTGCTACTACTCGGAATTCTGATCCAATAACAACCAATGTCGAAGAAATCTCGCAACCTATGATGAAGATTCAACACACTAATCTTTGTCTTTTTTCCACACTTGATCAATACCCAAATGGGTTAAGGATGCTTGTTCAAACATTAAACAATTATGTTCTATCATATGCTCTTTCTCCATCGTTTTCAGTTCCGATGGAATGACTTTATCTTGTTGCTTAAATCGCAATGTTCAACAAAACTACCAAGGTGGTTACATTCCAACTCTTGAATCCAAAAACAATGAAGCTCAGTTTTCCCAAATTCTAAAATTACCCGTTTCAGCTACTTTTTATGAAGTTTTGAATGATCAAGTGATTCATATGTTCAACAAAATGGGACATCAACCTACCCTTACTACAATAAGCCATTTTAAGAAGTCAAGTGTTCTATGTGTATGGAGTTTCTTGTATGGAATAATTCTAAGGTGTTTGAAAGGAAGAAGCTCTGGGCTTGACAAAACTATGGTTTGAATGTTGATTATGCTTCACATATATGGGAAGTATGTGGAACTTCTATCTCTCATATGAATCTAGCAACTGGTGTGTTGAGTGCTCGATTTTGGGGATTAATTCATAAGGAGATATACACTTAGGAGGATATTATGTTTCCATTTAGTGTTGATATTGCAGAATTCCCAACGCTGACTGCTGCTAGGGTTTTTGTGGATGATGTTGCTGTATTTCCTAATGTTGCTCGAATTTCAGATTCAATGCTTAAAGTGGTGGATCCCCAAAACTGGTTATTAGTACAATATTTGGCTTCAATTGATTCTTCTACTACAACTGGGTTACTTCCATAAAAGGGGCAGAAGGAACATCGAAAGACTCTTAGGCTCCAAAGAAGAAGAAACAAGTCGAAAAGCAACACGTGGTGGAGGAGGAGAATCTTAAGGAAACCATTCCCACAAAAACTAGGGTTCTTAAATGCACTAAGAAACCAACAAAGAAGCCTTCTGAATCACCAATCAACACAACTATTCAAGAACCTATTGTCGAAATCGTTGAGCCCACTGTAGTAAAAACCTCAAATTCATTTTCTTCCAAGGGTGGTCCAAAGAAGGCTCAAAAGTTACAATTCACCAGGAAGGGAGTTTTTGTTTGTGAAGTTCCGTGTCTTGGATCTCCAACATCCAAGAAGTGTCAAGCTTTGGATGTTGCTCAACAGTTAAAGAGGAGAAAGCATGATCAATTTCGTGTTCCACTTGAAAATGTGCACGTCGAGACCGAGCAAGGTAGTGAAAGTGACAAGACAGATATTCGAATCGAATATTCCTTTATTGGTTCTCTATGAAAGGATACCTATGTCAAGTCGACTTTCAAGGAAACACGTATTCCCGATATCACTGTAAACGTATCTAATACGGATACAAAAAACATTTCGAGTGACCAAAATCACCAACATCCCCAAGAAGGCAATAGTCAAACCATTATGGGTTTTGAATACCGAGTCCAATAGGGAGGATGTCAAAATTCCAGACATCACTGTGCATTTATCTAATAAGGACACAAATTTCAACATGGATGATGGGATACTTCATGTCGAATCTTATGTGGCTACTTCAATGGTTTTACCACCACCAACATCATCCATACTTACTTATGTTCCAACATCGACTATCTTACAAACATTTTTTGGTGTCATGCAAGAACCAATCACCACTCTATTCTCATCTCAATCAACTAAAAAGTCAAATCAAGAAGCTGGAGCAAATAATGATGATATCATGGTTTCATTTGTTAAAATTCAATTCAACCCAGAAGAAGAAAATATTCCTGATGAACTCATCATGTCAGGTAAGGAATTTAAGATCCTTAACTCAAAGATCAATTTTGTTCTTTAAATATCAGCAACTACTGGAGGAAAAGCTTATGTAAATGGGGTTGAAATGGACTATTTGATGACGTTTAAGAATCATGATTGTGTGATTTGATAGAGGGTATTGAGCAAAAACAAGCATAAATATTAGCTTTTCATTCAAAGAGCATTGATTATGAAATTCAGAAACTTCGTGATGTTACCAAGGAATGTCATGAACTCTTCGTTGAAAAGGTGAGTACAATGAAGGAGTCTCTTGATCTCAAAGTTGCTGAACTCAAATCCATGTTGTCGGAAAAAGTAAAAAAGATGGAGGAAAACTATAAATTGTTGCATGGCAAAGTCGATGTCATTGTTGATGCCATCACTCGATTGGTTGATTTCAACAATGAATACACTAAATAGATTGAAGTCAAGTCTGAAAAAGACAAAAAGGTGTTTGAGAAAATGGAGGAATTCCTATCTAGAATTAAAGAACCTTTGTCAAAGGTGGATCTTTCAGATCAACCCACCATTTCTCAAGAATAACTTTCATAGATCATTTCAAATATTGAGTCGAACATCAAGACTGAGCTCGCTCCAATCCTTAATTTGGTACTTCGTCTACCAACCAATGCTCCTCATATTGTGCAAGTCTCATAATAGGGAGGTAGAGGAGATGGAGGAGCTAGATCATCAAAAGATTATGGTAGTGATACAGGAGTAGTAGTTAGGATGGTGATTTCGTCTCAAATTCCAACTTCAAGTCCCATGAAGCCTATAATGGTATCGTCAACTACAATAAAATCTACAACAACAAATGTGCCAAAAGCTCCATCAAAAGGAATTTTGATTAAGAAGGAGAAGGAGATTCAAGTAAAGCTCCTTTTAAAAAAACTCAATAGCTGATCCAAAAGAAAAAGGTAAGTGTGTCTTGATTGAACAATCGGATGAAGAAAAGAAGAAGCAACAAGCTGTTGAACTGGAAGGACAAAGGCAAATCAATATCATCCTTTGTAAAAAGGAGAATGATCCACCAGGACTGAACAAAGGTGACATGAACAAGCACTAGTTTTACAAAACGATTGACATCATAGTGTTAGGGAAGAATGACGAATTTCTTAGAAGGCCGAAGAAAAGCTTTGAAACTGAAAATTCGGACTACAATCAACTTGATTTTCCAATTAATCAAATATTGTCCACATATACATAGTTCAAAGTAGCAGATTACTTCAAATATAAAAATGAATACAGAAACCTGAAGATTCATTTTCATGTTATCTTGAAGAAAAATGAATATGAAGTATGGTCATTGGTGAAAATAGTGAAGGTGATGAAAATCAAAAGGGATACCTTGTTCGAGGGTCTACTTCAAAACTTTCAATATTCAGTTGTGAGAGCTATAAATGCTGAATTTGAGTTCAAAATTGCTAACTTTCCCCTGATGAACCTGAATGATATTATTTCGATCACCAAGATTCTGATCAATGTAGATGTGTCAAAGATCCTAGAGGGAATCGAAATGACTTTATCATCAGATTTGATCATATTAAGGCCTATCTGGATAGCTACTATAAATATCCAGCTATCATAAATATTGATCTTACCTTAGATGTCAAGAAAAATGTGAAAGTGCCTCAAACTCTAACAAAGGCAAAGTTGAACACCAATGAGTTTGAAGATGGTGAGATCATCCATCAGCCTTATGGTGTTGTTTTCCAAGGAAAGAATAAGAGAGGGAATTTAACAAAGTTTTGTTTTAAATCACTGAGCTCGAAAGCTACACAAATTCCCATTTCACAAACATCTTGATTCGAATCGACAACTGTAAGAAGAATAATGATGGTGATAAGACTGAGATAAGAAAGATACTTTTGTGGTACATGGATATCAGAAGAGAGCTTTTGTTGACAGAAAAGTTGATTGCTTAACTTTTGACTTCTATCATTAAGGGGGAGAATGTTGGGTCGAATGTATGTAGTGTGGAGTTGATAGTAATCAGAGTTTGTAAGGTGTCGAAAGTAGTATGATTTCGACACTCTATCTGTTTAACAAGGCAGTTTAGTTTCGATACTTGAATGTCTAGTCTTTGTTATTTTTTTGAGTCTGTTGTACCTTATAAATAGAGTAATTACATAGAGTAACAATTAAACTAAGCGTCATTATCACTTGTACTCTCATTTTCTCTTGTACTCATTCAGACTTAATCGAGCCAAACGTGTCTTATTTAGATCGTGTGTAAGTTTAAAACTTATATTTATTCACACATGTTCTCAGTCTCTAACTCGCACCAACTTCACTACAGATATCTCGTGCACATTCTTGTTTTTCATCTTTAGGGTCCCACTTAAATGAGCAGGTGAAGAAGATGATGTAATTGGGCTACAAGAATCTTTCTCATCTTTGGTGTTTGAGAGATCATTTACCAAATATTTTCTTAAAGTGATATTTATCGATGATGTTGGTTCTTCAATGGTTGAACTTTAATACATAAAACCACTTTTTGGTGCTTCATCAGATTCTGACCTAATTGAGGGACCACTTGTAGATCAATCTATAAATGCAAATAGAATTCCAAAAAAATCAAAAGTAGATTTCATGAGAATTCGATCAGTTTCACTCAGGATTTTTTTTCAACTATCTAACGTTCAAGTCAAATCATTACATTATAATCCATTCTAATGTGCATCTCTAAAGTAGCAGATGAAACAAAACTGATAAGTTTCATTGGAGCATTTAAGCTATATTAATTTGGAAGTTATTTATTACCTAGCTTGGTTTTCCAAGTGCAAATTACAAATACACCCTCAACCATCCAGATTTTCCAAGTTGTGTATAACTCTTAACATCATACACCAGAGCCAAAGATGGAATCTAAAAATAATAGGTCACTAATCACTATAAGCATTCATTTAAATTTCATGCCATCTAAATAGTTTATTTAGTTCTGGACATGTTTATGTTCATTATACAGTGAACTACAAATTTTAGCCTATGCTCAGAGTCAAAAACCACAACATAGGAAATAGAAAAATACAAAATAAATATTTTACATAAAGAAGATTATACATTTCAGATTGAGTAATAGAAATTATCAAATAAGTCTGAAACTCTAAGCATGCAATCTGGTTCTAGCTTATTTGGAAGGAAATGAATGACATTGGGTCTATCATTATATTTGTTTTTATATATGAGCTGCTAGTTTCAATATATACGGAAAGGTGAAGTGAAGCTACCCTTAACTCCTACAAGTATAACACCATATCCCAAGACAAATCTAATTAAATATATATCAAATTAAAATAAACACAAATCAAAATGTATCCATAAAGAGAGATAACCAAGAAGGTAGTGGAAAATCCACCACTAATATGAACCCTAATTTATGAAGGCTTGCTTCGTCTTCATAGTTGAGAGAAGAAGAAAAAAGACCAGGCTCTTCCCTTTTCTCAAGCATTTTAACAAACAACTTATCTACTATACTAAACCCTTCATACAAAGCTTTTAGTGTTCGAAAAAAGAGTGAAACTAGTAACTTGCATTAACAAAGAGCTATAAAATGTTTATATACACAAACTAAACTATGCACTATCTTCTAACATAAACCCAACTAATTGCTAACAATCTGTAACATCCGAATTCATGTAATTTCCCTTTTAAATTTTTATTGAAATTTTAGTTGCAAAAGAAGACCCCTCCTATGTTGGGCATACGTGCATGTACGCTTAGCATACTGAGGCGTGCATCATCGGGCAGTTGAGCCTCATACGCGAGCATACAAGGAGGTATGCGGGGCATACGTGACCTGTGTCTAAAACCATAATCTTTGGACTTGTCCCCTATTTAAACCCATTTATGGCCTCTAGACCCTCACCTTTATCAGCCTCCTTACCTTTAAACGTCCCTAAAACCATAAATAGTCATTAGAGGTGATTTTGAGCTTAAAATAACAAAAATGATCCATTTTTGGTATATTTGCAAGAAGAAGATCTCGTGGTGCAAGTCTTGAACATGGTTGAACTTTTAGATCCTGCATCCACATCATCTTAGGGAGCTTTAGAGGTATAAAGTGCATACCTTTCTTATCTATTACTTAGATCTCTTCTTAAGCTTTTTTTTCTTTCCTTTTTGGTCCTTTGGTTGGTCTTGAAGAGTTAAGACCAATTGAGATGCCAATCTTGTAGATCTTGACATTTAGGGGACTCCTTATGCTTAAAAGTACAAAATTTATGGTGTTTGTGACCTCCATGCAAGTACGAAGTCATTTATTAAGCTCTTTTGGGCTTTAGGACCTTATTGAGCCTTGCATGCACGTACAGTTTGTAGCTTTACATGATGAACCACTTCAAGGAGATCAGATCTTAGTCTTGGGACTAATGTATTAACCAATTAATAGCTAAAATGAAAAGTTGGAAAACCTAAGGAGTACGCTGGGCATACAAGCTCGTACGCATACCGTACAGGCCCTTAAGTGTGTACTCTTAGCGTACAAGCTGAGTACGCCCCAAGTACTCGATAGTGGGATGCGGTGTTTGGGCCTTTGGTGGTGGGCTTCATTTTTGGACCCTAGGAGTTTAGGGTTGCTTTGTGGACTTCCAGAATGTTGATTTGGGCATTGGCATGGTTGGGTTAGGTGGGACCAACTTTTTTATGGGCCTTGTGTGTCATGGGTTGGGCCTTTTGGGCCTTAGGGACCTTATTATAATTGATCGATTATGGTTAGGCCCATTAAAGGGAAAATGATTTTGGGATTTATTTGAAGACTTTGGACTTATAGATTTTAGGCCCTTGATTGGGTTTGTGACATAATTCTAATTAGGGTAATTTAATGTATACAATGTGAAATTTCTAGGTCGATAGTCGAGCAGTTAGTACTTATCAATAGACCAAGGTGAGTCTCTTCCCGGTATTACGGGTCGAAGGCACCAAGGTCAGCCCATTATCTGGTTATGTAGTGTACTAGATGTTGTGTTGTTGGGACTAGAGTGTTGCATCATATGGGCTTAATGTTAATATTCGTATTACCCGGTTTGGGTCTGTCCAACCGTGGTTTAAGCATTAGGGTGTGCTTATATATTATGCATGCATGTATAGCTTTAAGGTTAACGTTCTCATTAATAGCTTTTGCATTGTAACCCTAACCACACCTCTACAGTCGAAGTTCTTCATCAAGCTCTTCTGAGGTGTGAGATATTAATCATTCAATTTCTTTTGATCGATTCTCGTGTTATTTGATTGCTTTATTCTTGTTTGTCTGTTTAGAATCTATCGATCTAATAGCGCAATAGTCTCATCAATTGGTATCAGAGCAGGAGGCTATGTAATTAATACGCATCTTTTTTGTTTGAAGAATCTTTTAGGGTTTCTACTTTTATTGAATATATAGAAGCCGTCATCTTCTGATCGACGGTGTCTCTTGTGTTTGA